AGAGGTCGGGACATTTCAGTTGCTGCGTCTGGAGATGCATCGGGGCTCCGTTTGCGCTACCAGTGTAGCGGCGAAGGATCGCATTGGCACTTTTTAGTTAGTCTGTATTCGATCCTAGGGGCAGCGCCCTCTCAAGAAAACGTGGAGAAGCTGAAACTTCTCAGCCCAGGTCTGTTGGGGCGCCGCCGTGGGGCGCGCGACTGTGCGCGCCCGATTTGCTATGCCGCGTGGGCCGATTGGAAACGAGAGTGAGCCGCTCGCGTGTGCTTCGCCACGCGCAAGCCCGTCGTGTCTTAGAGGAGGAGGCAGCGCAGACTGCGGACAGCGGTCTCGCGTTCTAGGGGGGGGCCGTGCGTGGGGGCAGTGGCGTCGTAGTCCCGACGGTCACCGATGCCGCTTGGGCTGGAGGGTAGGCAACTCATCGTCGAGGCACTTGGGAACCGCCTGGGCCCCAGAAGCTGCGGTTCAACGGACTCGGGGGGCCCGCGTTCGTCGAGGGGCGCAGTGGGCGCATTCGCCCTATGCGCTTGCCAAGCAAGGTGATCCGACGCGCATGCAGATCAACTCTGCAGATGGAGACTCTGGCCAGTATTTGGATATCGTGGTCAGGTGTGCGCGTTAGCGCCGCTGTCGCCGACGCGCGAAGCATGCTAGGGATAGGTCGCGAGCTCCATCCCGACTCGGAGGAGGTGTCGGCCATGACCATCAGGCATCTCTGGATGACCAGCAGCACGAGTCCGACGAACTCCTGACCGCGCCAGCCATGGGGAAGACAGAGGACAAGCGCCTGAACATGTACCATATCAGTTTATTGTACGAAATCTGAACACAAGGATATGAGGATTTCGGGATACTGCATCCTATCGCATAATGTGATAAGACCCGCTGGTTTGATTCTAGTCTGATGGTTTCCGGCTGCGTTGCCAAATTCATGCCTGCTGATATTTTGGCCATCGTGCTGTGCTCGGGATCGCATGACGTAGCGCTGGTTCTTGTGCCGATGCTGAATGAAGATGGTGTGGAAATAATGGGCGGGGACCAAAGGCAATTCTATCCCGAATGGGACGTGGCTCGTAACGTTGCTAAAGTGATTTTGGCCGGCCTTGTTATATTCCGTCCAGTGGGATATTCGTTCGCTTATCGCAAGCGCCTCTGAGCCGACCGGCTAGGTCGCGACAGAGTTTCATGGGTGTGATCTAGTGTGCGTATAGTCGACATGTGCGTGTGCCACTCTCGGCTGTTTGGCTCCCTGGGCCCTTTCTGCCAACGCTGGAAAAAACATCGTCGTCCACGAGAGGCGTGTGCGAGAGCGCCACGGCCCCCGCCCCAGATCCAGACGAGATTCGGCCACATCAGGCGAGGTTGATCCGACCCAGGCTTCCGATTCGATGCTGACTGATCCTGCTTCCTGGGCGGAAGCGAGCCAGGTGCTGGGGCCAGGGGCACCGATCGAGGGGGATAGGTCCAAGGGGTACTGCTCGGACCCCCAATCGCCAATTCGTCGCCGATGCGGCCCGACGGCCCACTCCTTAACGGAGCGTGCGGGTTCGCAGTCGGGGCCCATCGCCGGTCTATCGGCGATGCGTCGCCGCTTCAGCTCGACGTGTCCTTCCGTGAGCGGCGCGCCCCATCTTGGCTTTGCTCATTTCCTGGGGCTGATTGGAGGGGGGGGCGGGGGGGCGAAGGTCCCAGGCGGCGCGAACGCGCGCCGAGGAACGCCCCCAAATGGCCCCCGAGACAGCCTCGGGGTACAGAGAGGGGGCCAGGAAACAGCGTGCGCGCGCGCGCCCAATTCCGTCGCCAGCCGGGGATCCCCCCTTACTTTTCCACCGCCCATTCTCCTCCTCCTCCTCCTTCTCCTCCCTTTGCTCCTCCTCCATTTCTTTTCCTTATATAAATAGCTCCGTGTCGCACCCTGAGGCTGGTCGAAAAGGCGGGCCAGGCGTTTTGCGTGATACTTCCTCACCACTTGTGACACCCAGGTTAGACAGTTGACAACCATTTCGCACATGATGGGCGTGTAGTTTTTTTCACAAGGTGGCGCTCGCTTTAGCGCCGCGCACATGCGTTTTAAATGGTGTAACAATTTCACGGGTTGAAGGCCCAGTGGTTTCCAAAATGTGTCTCTCGCATTAACGCCGCGCGCGCTCGTCGCTCGTCTTAACCATTCAGAAGAGTTTCATGTATTGAAGGTGGTTTGTTTTCAAAATTTTGGTTTTCGCCTCAACGCCGCGCACATTCGTCAAACAAATGCAATCGTTTCGCGGATTGAGGGCGGTTCGTTTTCAAGCTGTGGCTCTCGCTTTGGCGCCCCGTGCCTTCGTTTTAAGTATCTGCAAGAGCTTCGCGGATTGAGGTCGGTTTGTTTTCAATGTGTGGGTGTCGCCTCTGCGCCGCGCGCAATTGTTGGAACACATTGCAAGAGTTTCGCGGACTCCCATAGTCAGGATACCAGAAATTGTGGTATGAAAGGGTTCAGGATTGTGATGTTGCAGCAGTT